CAAATTAGACATAGGATAAGTAGGGTAGTTAATTAGACAATCAACAACAAATGGAAAACATTTAGCTAATTATGAAGACCATCAAAGGGAGCTGCTGGATGCTGTTATGTTGTTTCAATGAGGTAATAGGGATGAAACTATTTACTAAGATATGGATAACACTTATAATAAATTAATGTAGGCATTGCATAGTCCATTAACAGAAGGCTAAATAAACAAGATAGGTGATAATATGTATGGTAGATGAGCAAGTGGTTATGACAATGAAAAAATTAAGAGTGTGAAAGCTCAAAAAAGAAATGACAAATGAAGTTAATAGCCTGATAAGTTAAACAGTCCAGAAAAAAGCCATAGGTTGGAAACATATTGTAATAAATGGGGTGATAAAGGGGGGGGGGGGGGAACCATTTAACTTACTATTACATACATACTAATAGTATGTGAACGCTCAAAAAAGAAATGACAAATGAAGTTAATATCCTAATAAATTAAACAGTCCAGAAAAGGGCCATAGGTTGGAAACATATTGTAATAAATGGGGTGATAAAGGGGGGGGGACCATTTAACTTACTAATACATACATACTAATAGTAAGAAAGCAAGTACACACTGCCAATTCTCTCAGACTAACTAAACAGTTAAAGTTTGTGATTAATGGGTTGTAACTTAAGTTGAATTGTTCATTTTGATGACCTGATCGTATGCCCTTGAAATATGCAGCCCCGCGTCCCTGTTTAGTTGGGGTGAACTTGAACCATTACCCTCCATCACTAGTCAATAAGCAAATTAATGAAATATCCAAAAACATCAACAGAAGTCAACAAAAAACACCAAAAGAGATGATTAGAGTAACCTTGCCATTTCACGGCAACCTAACATATCAAGTGAGTAATTTACTTAAGAAGTACAACATCGACACTACTTTCTCTGTTCCCACAACCTTGAAACAGATACTTAAAGCTAATGGCAAACAAAAACCAACCCTACCTGTTCAGCCTAAAGGAGTTGTATACAAAGTGAATTGTTCGTGTAATTTTTCATATATTGGCGAAACTAAACGTCCACTTGATAAGCGAATATCAGAACACCGGTCCAAAACTGCCACCAACAACTCGGCCGTAGCGGAGCACTTACAGAACCACCCGCAGCACAAAGTCGATTGGAATGGGGTGCAGATATTAACAACCAACCAACTGAATAGAAAAACAAGGAAAATCCTAGAAGCGATTAACATTAGGCGCTATTCACCCCAACTAAACAGGGACGCGGGGCTGCATATTTCAAGGGCATACGATCAGGTCATCAAAATGAACAATTCAACTTAAGTTACAACCCATTAATCACAAACTTTAACTGTTTAGTTAGTCTGAGAGAATTGGCAGTGTGTACTTGCTTTCTTACTATTAGTATGTATGTATTAGTAAGTTAAATGCCCCCCCCCCCTTTATCACCCCATTTATTACAATATGTTTCCAACCTATGGCCCTTTTCTGGACTGTTTAATTTATTAGGATATTAACTTCATTTGTCATTTCTTTTTTGAGCGTTCACATACTATTAGTATGTATGTAATAGTAAGTTAAATGGTCCCCCCCCCCCCTTTATCACCCCATTTATTACAATATGTTTCCAACCTATGGCTTTTTTCTGGACTGTTTAACTTATCAGGCTATTAACTTCATTTGTCATTTCTTTTTTGAGCTTTCACACTCTTAATTTTTTCATTGTCATAACCACTTGCTCATCTACCATACATATTATCACCTATCTTGTTTATTTAGCCTTCTGTTAATGGACTATGCAATGCCTACACTAATTTATTATAAGTGTTATCCATATCTTAGTAAATGGTTTCATCCCTATTACCTCATTGAAACAACATAACAGCATCCAACGGCTCCCTTTGACGGTCTTCATAATTAGCTAAATGTTTTCCATTTGTTGTTGATTGTCTAATTAACTACCCTACTTATCCTATGTCTAATTTGTTTAATCCTTTATCTTTATTGTTATTGCTATTTTATCTTATTATATGGTTTCACCATGTCCACTCTTATATATTCATCTGAAGTTTATGAAATGTCATTGTGCTTGATAACGATAAGAGGATACTTGTCGAAACGTCGTGCTTTTAGAATAAACCAGTGATTGTTTCCCATAAAAATTGTGTTCTATTAATGTTGACATTAGGTTTAGATTTTATTGAGCTGGCTGGGTGACAAACACAATGCACTCTCGGAAAGTATTTACCTTGTAATAATTGTCTCAATTACAATAAACATTTTATAATATGAACACTCATATCAATAAACTATTCTAGGCCTAAGGCCTACGTCAAACAGAAACACTAATTAGCAACATTGCAGCCGTAATGTTGGAAAATGAATAGCATGAATATGATCTTTTGGGCCAATTAAAACATACTAGTAATAGTACTGAACTAAGACAATGACATGATATTAATTACTTATGTTGTATGGTGAGGCCTAATATTACAAAGATGGCTGCCATGACAAAAAACATGTGCTCTGTAAGATTTCTAGGTATTTCAACTAAGGCTGCTCAATACTTAAAATACTGACTATAGCAATATCAATAAGAATTACCATGAACACCTATTAGTTCTTTTAATACAAGTTATAGTAATGGTAAACTAAATAATTACCTGTGGGGAAAGAAACAAAACATGTGACATTACACCCGATCCGCCTATTATTAGCCTGCTAGTAGTAGAAAGTTGTTAGTCATTTTTAGATGCTCGTAGCAGCGCTAAGGGTGCCTCTGCGCCTCTGGGGGTAAATTGTTAGCCGCTACAGTAACAACTAACAAGGGCAGCCTTTGTTATCTACTATAGTAGCAACTAACAAGGGCCGTATAGTTTTTATTTTCCTAATAAATAAATCGAGACTTGGAAAACTAACTTTATTCCCATTTTCTGGTTATTGACGAAATGTGGACTTCTTTAATAAACAACTAAATTACTCATATTTTACTGCGGCCAAAATATTTATGAATAATACTAAAATAGGGATTAAAGATGAGATTTTGTGTAGATAATCAAGGCCCTATCCTATTTATAGGAGGAAACTGTGCGCTGTATGCATATATATTATTATTTAATGAACTTTCTTTTCAGAGGTCCCTATATTCTAATTTCGACAATTATAACATATACACTGTACATTGCATAAACTTCTCTCGAACAGTTCTGAGTCGCTTTTTGATCCACCATTTTATAATTTGCTCCCTTTACTATAGGAGTATTCTTCCCGTCTTAATGGATGTTTTGGTACATTAAAATCTGATCTTATCTATTATCTATTCCAATCGTATTTCTGACTATAGCAGTAACGATTTGTAGGCCTACTAATTTAATAAAAATAAAAAAAACCCACGTAATTTGTCCTTTCGTTTTAAATGTATCGAACGTTAAATTGTTATTCGTAATATCTCTTTTCAATGCTAAAGTATGAAAACATTTGTTAGCTATGTAAATTCATCAAATCAAAAGTTCTAGAAAGATTTGGAATATTCTGATTCTGTAACAAATGTAAATTTATATTTCGGTCATTTTTGAAAATAGTGAGTTACTAGGGATTCGTCGTGGCCTAGATTCCGATTTGACTTTTAATGGAGGTATAACCGTGGCTGTAACAGGGACTTTCTTCTTGTCAAAATATCGAATATCGAATGCAGCTAAGTCAATTTATTATGTCACACAATTAATTATTATCTTTAATCCAGTCAAAAACTGGAACTATTTTGCGATATGGTTCCATTTCGAGCGGTGATCTGGTTATGCGACGCGTTTACCCGAATAATTCGCTTTCAGAATCTGATTATTCTGTTACCAATTTAATAATATAATTTAAAAAAAACAAAATTGTTTAGGATTATCTTATTTACGGAAGAGAACGTGTAATGGGTCGAATGTCTCGTCAATACAATATCAGACATTCTGAGATTAATTTGTTTTTGTCGTTAGATAAATTTATCGTCTCAAGGAATGAGGCCGAAAGTTTTGAAACTGAATCAATCGGGTTGACTGAAAAAAAAAAAAAAAAAAAAAAACCCTAAGCATGTCGCCACGGCCATGGCATCATTATATCTAACCTTTTATGCTTTTACCCACATAACAATATGATGTTAATTTTACATTACATTTACGTAAAAATGGTCAGTCAGTTTACCATCATTTTGCTCATCTTTTTAACGATAATTTTACGTCAGGAAATGACGTTAATCTAACGTAAACTTTACGTCATTTTTACGTTATATTTACGTCATTTTCTGACGTAAATCTAACGTAAACTTTACGTCATTTTCTGACGTAAATCTAACGTAAAATTTGCGTAAAGTTTACGTCATTTTCGTTAGATTTACGTCAGAAAATGACGTAAACTTTACGTTAGATTTACGTCAGAAAATGATGTAAATATAACATAAAAATGACGTAAACTTTACGCTAGATTAACGTCATTTCCTGACGTTAAATTGTCGTTAAAAGGATGAGCAAAATGATGGATATCTAACCGACCATTATAACGTAAATCTAACATTAAATTAACATCATTTACGGATGCAATTCTAATGTCAAATTTTGATGAGCATTAAAACCTTCAAAATTATTCATTATTCGCCGCAGTAAATGGGAAGTACATTCAACCAATAATCAAATTTTCCTGACCCGTGGGTGAGGCTAAAAGTTGAGTGGTCCAACGTGTGCGCTTTAGATCATAAGGTCTGTCATTGAGTCAAGTGGTTTCTTTCCACACCCAACTTGAACATGGGTTTTCTCTGGGTCCTCCTACTACTAAAGATTCCTGGTGCGGATGAATTATTCAACTTGAATTGAATCACTTAGTCCCAAAGGACAGTTTATGTCTATTGGATGTTTTACCCCACTGCTCTCTATCTACCCATAACCAGTCAGAATTCTAAATGTATTGCACAGAAAAGTTAAAAATCTAGCAGAATTATATGACAAAATATACTACAAGTATGTATACATATACTTTATTTAAAAGACAAAAATATAATGTTATAAAATACAAAATACACATTTAAATATTAACAGTTTTTATCCACAGCTGTTTGAGAAATGAAGACGGGCATATGCCACACAGTGTGCAGAGCTATGGCGTACTCTTATATAAAATTCCAACTGCCAAGGGATCTTTCACACACACACACTTGAGTATACACTGTACCTTGGTTTTTTTTGTCCCTTCCGTATGACTAGTCAGCCATCCATGTCAGGTCCTCTGTCCGGCATCACTGACAAGGGAAAATGTTCAAGAAAAAGGTCTACATTAGCGCTATGAAAGTGTTGATATGCATATAAGAAAGAAAAAACTGGGATATTGACCAAATTGGGCCAAAACCTATAGCCTCTATCTTATTTGCTCAAGGTATTGATGGAATAGGAGTTAACTTTGGAATGAGTGAAATGAAATGGGGTTTAATGTCCTATTCCGACAGGGCTAATGACATGGAAATATGCTATACAGTGTCCTATTATGGAATTTTATCCAGACAGCGGCGCTAAAGCCTACTCTTATATCGAATTCAAACTGCCAAGGGATCTTTCACGTGCGAACCAATGTGTGCACAGGACCTCGGTCATTCGTACCTTCCAAACGACTAGACAGCTGTCCCTCCTTGTCAGGCCCTCTGTCCTGCACCTCTGACAAGGGGAGGAAACCAAGTCTGGAAATCACGAAGAATTTTCTCGGCCGACACTGGAATGGAATGTTGTGGAATACTGAATATTGATAGGTTTCGTCCTCTCATGATTCCAGTGTGTAACACAAATTTGAAAAAGATCAATTAAGAATAAAGACAGCATCTATTGCATTTGAAAAAAGGAGAATTAACCAAGGAAGGCAAAGTCCTGAAAAGCTGTATATTGATAATGCTTGTCCTCTCACAATCGGAATGATTCACATTTCACACCCAGTGTACGGACAAACAGGGCCAAAATTGATATGTGGGTGTATAAACAAAGATATATACTACACCAATATTACATGTGTTGCAGAATTGGTTTAACACATTTCAAATATAATTGTAACACGGATATTTGCAATGGTTGATCCATGACAAAAGATTTGAAATATTTTGAAGAGACGCAAAAGGTTACGCCATACAGTGTGCTATGAGGGAAATTTTGCCCAGGCAGCAGTGCTATGGCCTACTCTTGTATCGAATTCCAACTGCCAATGTGTACACTGGACCTTGTTTTTTTTTTCCCATCCAAACGACTAGACAGCTGTCCTCGTCAGGCCCTCCGTCCTGCATCACTGACAATGAGAAACCACACCGGAAAATCAGGATGAACTTTCTCGGCCAATGCAGGGATCGAACACCCGACCTCAAGGCTAGCGAGTCAGCGTCTTACCCACTTAGCCACATGATCCCCCCTTGGCCTATGTATATGTAGAGATGAATTTTGAGCTACCTTTATATATATCTTTCTATTTTTAAAACCTGCGACAAGTATATTTATATCAAGGATGTAACCCTCTATCAGTTAACCCGTCACAGATTGGTTGCATTGGTTCAAAATATTCGTTTCATATCATACCTGACCTTCAAATCCAGGAATTGTAGCCACAACGGGGATCACGTTGGTTAAGTCCGTAAGACACTGGCTATCTAGTCTGGAGGTCGGGTGTTCGATCCTTGCATTGGCCGAGAAAGTTACTCCAGATTTTCCAGCGTGGTTCTCCCTTGTCAGTGATGCAGGACAGAGGGCTAGACAAGACAGCTATCTAGTCATTAAAATGGGACAAAAAAATGAGGTCCCATGTACACATTGGCGTGCACGTACAAGAGCCCTTGAAATTAGAATTCGATATAAGAGAAGGCCGTAGTGCCACTGTCCGGGCAAAATTTCCCACATAGCACACTGTATGGCGTATGCCCATCTTCATTAGCCCAGTTCAGAGCAAAACAGTAGGACGTTAAACTTTCATTTCACTAGCCACAGCTCTGTTTTCTTTCACCAAAGGGGGGGGGGGTGGATGGCTGAATGGTTAGCGTGCGCGCGCTGTATCATAAAGTCTGTCATTGAGTTGACTGGCGCGGTTTCGAATCCCCGGTTGTACGTGGCAAGGAGTAGGGTCGCCTGTCCAACCTCGTGGGTTTTCTCCGGGTCGTCCGGTTTCCTCCCCCTGCTAAAGACCCCTACGCGCAAGCGAATTATGTAAATGAAAAATTAAACCATGTTAGTCCCGAAATGACCTAGTTTGTGTCCAGTGGACAGTAAACCCCATTTCTCTCTCTCTCTCTTTCACCAAAGGGGGGGATCAAGTGGCTAAGTGGGTAAGACGCTGGCTCGCTAGCCTGGAGGTCGGGTGTTTGATCCCTGTATTGGCCGAGAAAGTTCATCCTGATTTTCCGGCGTGGTTTCCCTTGTCAGTGATGCAGGACAGAGGGACTGACAAGGACAGCTGTCTAGTCGTTATGGGACAAAAAAACGGGGTCCCGTGTAGACATTGGCGTGCACGTAAAAGATCCCTTGGCAGTTGGAATTCGATATAAGAGTAGGCCGTAGCCCCGCTGCCCAGGCAAAATTTCCCTCATAGCACACTGTATGGCATATGCTCGTCTTCATTAGCCCAGGTTAGGAGCAGAACAGTAGGACGTTAAACCCCATTTCATTTCATTTCTTTCACCAAAGACCACATAAATACTTCATTTAGCACTTGTCATTTGAAACAGTTATAGCATAAGTCGATGTTGAGTATAAGTCAAATTGCCAAATTTTACATTTTTCCGACCTACATCCATAATTAAGTAGAGGCGGTATATAAGACTAATGTTTATCCTAGTCTAATACCGTGCCGGTGTACCCCGAAGAAAAGTTGGGCCATATAAATAATGAGGGTCTGGGACAGTTGTCAATAACACTTGCATTTATAAACAAACATGAATAGTGATGACGAATTAGGATTCAATAAAAAAAACAACATAGATATGGCCCATGAAGAGAGAAATTTTACAATAAAAAAAATTAAGAGTGTTGGATATTGAACTGACAATGCAATCAAATGGATTTTCGGAAATGGCATTCTTATATAAATTTCATGGGCGTCAACATCTTGTTTTAGGACTAGTTACCTCCCTTAGACTTTGTTTATGATAATGTAAAAGACCGGATAATCTAGCCTATGACCGATTATTCTCAAATGTTGACAACGCAACCACACTAATATTCGTAGAATATAGAATATTTTTTTCTAGATGATAGAGACTAATAATATGCCAATATTGAAATGTGTGCATAAATATGGTATATACTTAACTACACCAATATTATACCTATGTCATAGAATTTGTTACACACATTACAAATATAATCTTAATAGAGATCTTTGCTATGGTTGATCTATCAGTAAAAATTGGAAGATTTGTAAGGAACGCAAAAGGTTATTGTTTACTGGCTGCAGCAGGGAGCAATAACAGGAACACAGATGATTTTCAACTCACTGATACAACTCAGTTTAAATTTTAAGCCAAAGAGCTGTTATATAATACTGTGACAGGATATCTGCTCTAAACTAACTAGTCATCAAAGAATTGACTGTCAAAAGTTCAGACAGAAAGTATTTTAGGCCTACAATGCTTGTAAAGCTTTGGCCTACATTCTGATGATATTTGTGCTACCATAGATACATATATATTTATATCATTACATTATGTGACAAGTAGTAGTGTTTGGCAAGTAGTAGTGTTGTCTAACTTTCATTATAAAGCCCATATAAATCTTTTTAGAACTTCTTTGTCATTACTGCCACCACGGGTGCTCAAATATACATGTAGGATCTGTAAAAAAAAAATAAATAAATAAAAAGCAACTTTATACTCCCCAAAAAAACGATATTGGGTTAAACGGCCTACTGTTCAGCTCCAACTGGGCTGACAGCCAACCTACTGTGGATCTGTAATGAAATGGGGTTCAACATCATACTGTGCTGCTCAAACTGGGCTAAAGAAGTTGGACAAATGCTTGAAAGTGTGCTATGATGAAAATTTTGACTGGACCGTGTGTAAAAAGAGCTTGGTTTTTTGTCCTATCCGAACAACTGTACATTAGCCCTTACCAGCCCCTCTGTCTTGCACCAGTTAAAAGAGGAACCATGCCAGAAAATCCTGATGAACTTTCTTGGCCACCACAAGAATAAATAAGCAGGGGAGTAGGACTGAAACCTTTATGTACAAGTATGTACGGGCAAACTTGTTATTTAATGTTATATCATATAAATAGGCCTATGTATATAAGCTTAAAGTCTTGATTATCCATTTTTCAATTAAATTAAATCATTAACATTAACCGCCAGTGTTTGAATCTGTGAACATCTCGAGCACCCGATGGCATTGAGACTTGATTATAGACTTAGCAAGTTAATACATTAAAATGTCTTATAAAAAAATTTAACATTTACAGTCTCAAGAAATACCTACTTAACCTACGTACAATATATAGATTTAGCTCTTGCATTATGCATTATTAAATTTGCAAAAATATCAGTACAATAACAACAAAAAAACCCAACCTGAAACACCCATAAAAATGTTTAGAAAATACTACATGTACTTATATTATAATTAGCACAGCCTGAATTTTAACAGTCTACATCATTAATAAATTCGTTATGTGTTTGATAATTTTTGGATCCAGATTTTTTAAAAACAATTTTGGAACCAGTATTACTTTCGATAACTTAAAGCAATGTTGATTTTGTTTATGAATAGTATGGTTTACGGACAATGTAACTGCATCGTGTTAAAAACAAATACTGACTGTCTGATATACAAAGTTGCGTGCAAACTTTTTCCACGGCCAGATTATTTTTTTATGAACATTAGATCTATCGGTATACTGTCAACGGAAGTTCGCATAAAAAGTGCACTTACCTTCAACTTTACTTTGCTGAATCCAAAATCGTGTGTGTATGTGTGGAATAGCTTTATTTAACTTTAAATCACGGCATCATTTCTTCTTTGGGAAAAATAATAAGCTATGCCGCCATTTTAAATCCCAGAATTCCGTACGTTCCGGTCAAACGAACAAACAAAAAATATTTAATAAATAATTGAAGCAATTTTGATAAATAACAACAATAACCGTAACCTATAAAAAAAATATTGTAATGTGAATAGAAATAATATGATATAAACCGATTTAAACACAATCATCAACCGTGAACAGATCGTGACCTTGACCTTGCCCGAGACGATAAAAATATATTTGTACATCTACATGTATTTAGGTCTAAAAATGGCGACTGTTCGTTTGAAAGGCCTGTAATATTTCTGATAATGAATCTATTCATATTATTTGTTTGTATACGCTCTACCATATTTTATATGAGGTTACATGATTACGTTATATTAAAAGAATAATCAAATCGGGTAATTTTAATTTATATTTACTGGTGAAAGGATCATTAATTTTATATTTACTGATGCAAGGTACTATATTTAATAAATTTAATTATAAAAACACTTCATGCATAGTCGGCCTAGGTGTGGACTACTCCTAACATTTGGACAGTGATAACCTTTTAGTAGAGAACAACTTTGCTTTATGAAACAGTTTCCGACAATCAATCATTATTTGTTTTGTCAAATTTTTGGGTATCAAAATTGAGAGAGAGAGAAATGGGGTTTAACGTTCACTTTACTCGATGATACAACAAAAAACACAATTACTTTTTTAATTAAAGCGACATTTCGTTGAGGGTTCTCTCAACGTTTTCAAGTAAATGATGCTCAATAGTCAATGGGTGCACTCGTCCGCTTGCCAGCCTATCTTTTATAGTCCCATTGGTGCAGAAAAGTAGGAAAATTAAATAAAATTAAATGAGATTAAACATCCTACTGTTTTGCTCTGAGTGAGCTAATGAAGACAGGCATACACTATATACAGTGTACTATGACGGAAACTTTGCACGGATAGCGGCACTATGGCCTACTCTGATATTGAATTACAACTGTCGGAGTGTCTTTTACGTGTATGCCAATATGTACACGAGGACTTGATTTTTCGTATGACCCGAACAACTATACCTTATCCCTTGCCAGATCCTCCGCCCTGCCACAGTCCATAGAAAATTTCCGTCATAGCACTCTGCATTGCGTATGACTATCTTCAATAGTCCGATTGGTTCAGAAAAGTATAAAAATGAATTTTAAATGGGGTTTGAACATCCTACTATTTTGTTCCAAGTGGGCTAATGAAGAAGGGCATATGCTATAATGGTTAAAATGTTGTGATTTCGGGTTAAAATGCCGTGATGTTGGGTTATCGCCTTACGAAGGGTGATATCAGTCACCATATCTACTGGGTTTCTTTAATACTCATATTTATAGTATTTTATAGAGTCAGACTAGTGGACTAGTGAATGCACGGATTAGTGCACCCACAGACTAGTGAACCCGCAGACTAGTAATTGGTAATGATGGAAAAGTGTGTAAAGACATGTTTTACAGGTTGGCGTGCACTTAGAACTATTGGTAATGACTATATGTGGAAATGCTGCTCTCCAGGCAAAATGTCTTTCCTAGCACTTCTTCATTAGTAAGTGCGGTAATGCTGCTGTCCAGGCAAAATTTCTGTCATAGCACATCTTCATTACTAATTTTGATAAAGCCATGGTGGCTAAGTGCGTAAGATGCTGGCTCGGTAATCTGGAGGGCACGTGTTCGATCCCTGCATTGGTGGAGAAAGTTCATCAGGATTTTCCGACATGGTTTCCCCTTTTCAGAGGTGCAGGAACAAGGACAGTAGTCTAGTCACTCAGATGGGACAAAAAACCGAGGTACCATGTATACATTGGCTTGCACGAAAAGATCCCTTGGCAGTTGGATTCGATATTAGTAGGCAAAATTTCCCTCATAGCACATTGTATGGTATGTACCTGTCTTCATTAGCCCAGTCGGAGCAGAACAGTAGGACAATAAACCGATTTCATCAGGACAAACCTACATGAGGAAAAACCTACATTTCACAAACTTAGTAATTAGTAACGGGGGGTTGGATGGCTGAATGGTTAGCGTGCGGGCGCTGTATCATAAAGTCTGTCATTGAGTTGACTGGCGTGGTTTCGAATCCCCGGTTGTACGTGACAAGGAGTAGGGTCGCCTGTCCAACCTCCGGTTTTCTCCCACTGCTAAAGACCCCTACGCGCAAGCGAATTATGTAAATAAAAATTAAACCATATGTTAGTCCCGAAATGACCTAGTTTGTGTCGAGTAGACGTTAAACCCCATTTCTCTCTCTCTCTCTCTCTAGTAATTAGTAACACACTGGCTAGCAAATGAGGGGTTCTGCTCCTAAACTGAGCTAATGAAGATGAGCATACGCCATACAGTATGCTATGAAGGAAATTTTGCCCAGGCAGCGGCGCTATGGCCTACTCTTATATCAAGTTCCAACTACCAAGGGATCTTTCATGTGCACTCCTGTGTGTACACGTGACCTCAGTTTTTCATCCCTGACGAGACAGCTGTTCTTGTCAGGCCCTCCGTCCTGTATCACTGACAAGGGGAAAACACGCAGAAAAATCTGGATGAACTTTCTCAGCCAATGCAGGGATCGAACACCCGACCTCCAGGCTAGCGAGTCAGCGTCTTACCCACTTAGCCAACGTGATCCCCATGTTGGTCGAGAAAGTTCCCTTTGTTAGTAGTGGTGTAGGACAGAGGACCTCAAAAAAACAGTGTCTAGTCCATCACGTGGGTGTGCACGTAAAAGAACCCTTGACATTTGGAATTTGAAATGAGAGTAGATCATTCATTCATTCGTTTTCTCTTTGTGTGTCACCTAGAGACCGCAACTATTAAAGGAGCTAGATCTCTATTCTTGGGCACTTAGAAATGGATACAAAATGTAATGAAATGAAATGGGGTTTAACGTCCAACTGTTCTGCTCCGAACTGGGCTAATGAAGATGGCCATACACCATACAGTGTGTTATGAGGGAAATTTTGCCCCGACAGTGGCACTACGGCCTACTCTTATATCGAATTCCAACTGTCAAGGGATCTTTTACATGCATGCCAATGTGTACACAGGACCTCGTTTTTTTTTTTATCCCATCTGAACAACTAGACAGCTGTCCTTGTCAGGCTCTCCGTCCTGCATCACTGACAAGGGGAAACCACGCCGGAAATCTGGATGAACTTTCTCGGCCAATGCAGGGATCGAACACCCGACCTCCAGGCTAGCGAGCCAGGGTCTTACCCATTTTAATGACTAGACAGCTGTCTTGTCAGGCCCTTAATTGTTAGTATCATGACATTAAACTGACATTTGTTTTACGTTTTACAACTAATATCAGGTTTATGTTAGAAAACTAACGTTAGATTTATGTTAGAAAACTAAAGTTAGATTTATGTTATAAAATTAACATTAGATTTACGTTAGAAAACTAACGTTAAATTAACGGTTGAAATTATGACATAAAACTAACATTACATTAACGTTAGAAAACTAACGTTAGATTTACGTCAGAAAACTAACGTTAGATTTACGTCAGAAAACTAACGTTAGATTTACGTCAGAAAACTAACGTTAGATTTACGTCAGAAAACTAACCATAAACTAACGGTTAGAAACCTGATGTAAAATTTACGTTAGATTAACGTTAGAATTATAACCAATAATACATATATAATTATTATGTCTGAATTCCGACTATATATCAATTGTTAGAATGTGCACACACTTGTAATGTTATTTAATCAAGAAGTATTCAAAGGGAAAAAAATTGGTTAGTAATCCGTCATAAAGTTTACGTTACATTTACGTCATTTTCTGACGTAAAAGTAACCATAACCATTATGACGTAAAAGTAACGTAAATTTAACCAAAGAATTTTACCATTATTGGACGCTAACCAAAATCTAACCATAATGACGTAAACTTTACGTAAATCTAACCATCAATGTTAACTGGGTATGAAGTCAAAGAACACGTTGATTTGTTTCGCGACCTATACATAGGCCTACAGTATTTGTTTAAAGACCCTAACGGTAAGTATTTCATATAGTTTATTAATAATTAAATTTTTCTATACATAGCCTACTAGATCTACTTCCTCTCACAGCCAAATGTGTTTAGAACTAAAACTTTGAACTTAAAAGGCCAGGCAAATTTTCTGATTTCATGTAACAATGCGTTGTTATTTATTGTCCCCCGCCTTTCGAAGAAAGCAGGGGACTATTAAAATGGGTTCGTCCGTCTGTCTGTCCGTCACACTTTTTGGGACACAATAACTCTCTTCCTAATTGAGCTAGAATGTTCAAACTTGGTGTATGTGTTTATTAGGTCAATGCCTTGATGGAGTTCGAAGATGAGCATTTTCCGCTTAGGGTAAGCAGAGATAAGCAATTTGATTGGTTGATGCTTTGGGACACGATAACTCTCTTCCTAATTGGGCTAGAATGTTCAAACTTGGTGTATGTGTTGATTAGGTCAATGCCTTGATGGAGTTCGAAGATGAGCATTTTCCGCTTAGGGTAAGCAGAGATAAGCAATTTGATTGGTTGATGCTTTGGGACACGATAACTTTTAATTGAGCTAGAATGTTCAAACTTGGTGTATGTGTTTATTAGGTCAATGCCTTGATGGAGTTCGAAGATGAGCATTTTCCGCTTAGGGTAAGCAGAGATAAGCAATTTGATTGGTTGATACTTTGGGGCACGATAACTCTCTGCCTAATTGAGCTAGAATGTTCAAACTTGGTGTATGTGTTGATTAGGTCAATGCCTTGATGGAGTTCGAAGATGAGCATTTTCCGCTTAGGGTAAGCAGAGATAAGCAATTTGATTGGTTGATGCTTTGGGACACGATAACTTTAGTTCTAATTAAGTGAGATTGATGAAACTTGGTGTATAGTTTCATTACATCAATACCTTGACTAAGTTCAATCATGAGCATTTTCTACTCAGGCTAAGCAGAGCGATAAGCAATTTGATTGGTCGAGACATTGGAACACAATAATTCACATTCTAATTGATGTAGAATGTTCAAACTTGGTGTAGGCTTTCATTAGGTGAATGCCTTGATGGAGTTCAATGATGAACATTGTATGCTTACGGTAAGCAGAGATAAGCAATCTGATTGGTTGATGCTTTGGGGCATGATAACTTTGAGAGAGATGAAACTCCGAATATAGATTCATTATATCATTACCTTGACTAAGTTCGATGGTGAAAATTTTCTGCTAAGGCTAAGGAGCAATAAGCAATTTAATTGATTGGTCAAGACTTTGGAACATAATAACTCTGCTTTTAATTGAGGTAGAATGTTTAAACTTGATGTAGATGTTCATTAGGTGAATGTCTTGACTAAGTTCAATGATTAACATTTCGAGCTGAAGCCAAGCAGAGGTTATCAGTTTCATAATCTTGATTCTATTTGATAGACAGTGATGAAACTTAGTCTATAGTTTAACTGTTCGATACTTTTGAAAAAAATAAATGTTCTATTAATTAATACGTGTCATCTAATTATTTTGCTATTTCGGCGGGGGACATCAGCCTCACTGTTGGCTTGTTGTTACTGTTATTAGGGCCTATTATATTAGTTATTTCTTATTATAAGGGCCTGTGTTGAAGAAATTCCCTTACTGAAAAAGAAGACAATGATGCAAAATTAGATATCATTTT